AATATAAACTATAACTGTGAAATTAACTTTTACGCGTTCTCCATCACATTATAACATCCAATAATGCAATTTTGAATGGAAAATATTCCATTATTAATGTTACGTAATATATTTCATTATTAACGTTCCATATAATGTATTTATTAAATCTATGCATAATGATAACATTACTATTGTTTATTATGCAGCGACATTTAAACAAATATTCAGTTATATGAAAGTGATATAATACAAAAATATTTCCAAAAATAGCAAGGAATGAATGATTGATACATTTTCGAAACGTCATTCTCTTCTACATTTATATATCTGACAGTTCGAATTATCCATTCTATTCAATCTTAATTTATTTTTAAATCGTGAGAGCTTGAAATTATTTTGTACGAATTATTAGAGAGATATTTCATCGAACAATTTAAAATTATCTTTCTTCTCTATAATAACTATATGATTAAGCTGGACACATTAGGGGGCAGCTAAAGATAATTCTCTGTTGCAATGAATACTTTCCTCTATCGAAAAAGTATCGTATCTTTTCCAATATCGATACTTTGATTTTAAAATAAAACGCGTTCGTGGTGTCGACAAAGCGATCGCGTCGCGTGCGATAAAAATACATGTCATATACAGACGCTTTCGCATAAAATGTCAGATTGCCCCTCCGACGAAAAGGATGTCAAATAACGCGATATCGATCATCGTATATTGCACAGGTATCACGTGTTTTTCACGATTGCAGTCTTTGATAAATTCGCTTGATCTTTTTTGACGAAACTCTAATTGGACACATCATTTTTCTTTTCGATTCTAATATTGTATATATATATAAAGCCGAAATTTGGGAACGCGTTCCGCATATTATGATCGTCCGTGGCGCTTTCAGCCTCGCGATGTCTCTGTTCATTTACGGAGATTCACACGCAATCGCTGCTACTGTGTTGCATTGAACCTCTGACGCGAATGTATATAACGCACACATTTTTTTCCACCGACTCTTCTTTTTTCTTTTTAACGAGATCGATACATTACGATAATTCCAACATTTCTCGTCTGCCTGCCGTGTGTTTACTGAATGCTAATATTATCCAGTTCCGCGAAATATTTAAAGAGCTTGAATACATTTTAAATTTCGACGAATTTATTCTATACCGCATCCCTTTTTTTCATCGCTTGACGCAACAATCGATATTCGCTTCACCGAATATCGATGTCATTGCTTTGACGATTCGCGTAATTTTTTTAGTGTTTTTTATTTCCCGCAACTATCGTGTTCAACATTGCGGTGAGATACATAAATATGTAGCATTTGTATCTCTACTTCAGCGTAGTAAGACTATTCTGACGCAAGTTGAGCCGTAAATGCACTCGCTTCTGTCATGACTAAACAATGTAAATGCGGTTTAGTGTGTATGAGCGAATCGACATTTCGACCTCAAGTATTCTACGTCAATGCTACGTAATATGTATTCGTGTAAAGATAATAGTGGATATAACTTTATTTGAATTTTTTTTTTTTTTAATTATTTCAAATTGTTTGAATATTACGAGTGAAAATGATATAATATTTTTATAGAATAAGAATATTTTTAAATTACGTGGTTGATCAAAAAGAATTACAATATGTAATAATTTATGTTACGTATTAATTTGTAATATTTTTGTTCGTATATTCATTATCCATCAAAGTATATTTATTCTTGAATAAATTGTAAATATTATTAATAATAATTATAATGTATAAATACGTATATTGATCCACATAAAATTTATTTTATAAAAGTATAAAATGAGTATTTAAAAAAAAATTATTAAAATAAAAATATAATTTATATTATATACATATTCGGATAATTGTTTTAATAATATATTAATTATGTTTTTTATAGTTTGCAGGTTTTTAGCATAATTTTCGGAAAAATAAAAATTTGGATTGATATCTTCAATGTAATAAAAAAATTATGTAAAACTTATCTAAATAAAATTCACGTTGGATGCACCTCGCGTTTGCCATGTGTGCGAGCGAAATCAACATTACATTTCGACCTCGACTATCTTACGTCACGTCAATCGAAACTTTACCTACGTAGCAGCCCCGAATAAAGAAGTGCGGTCGCTAGATGTAATTCACGAGTTCAGCGAAAACTCGTAATTGATGCAATGTTTGTAAGTCGATATCTAACCGCGTACGCATTTCTTTGTTCCTCTCTGCATAATGTACGCTGCACATTAACATTCCGACATCCCATCAACATTTCAATCTCGATGATTATTACATCATGTCGATCGAAACTTCGTATAGTAGTTAGAATGAGGAAGTCAGTTCATTAAGAGAAGAAATGAGGAGGAGGAGAGAGAGAGAGAGGAGCGAGAGAGGATGAGAGAGAGAGGGAGAGAGGAGAGAGAGAGATGAGAGAGGAGAGAGAGATGAGAGAGAGAGAGAGAGAGAGAGAGAGGAGAGAGAAAGAGAGACTCTCGGTAATCGATCGGTCGCTGATTACTTCGGGCATGCTCCGCTTGAACTTCCTAGCAAGTATATTTACACAAAAGAAACGCGATAGCTTTGCGCGACCTTTACCCGTTCGAAATCATCGATGATCAAAAAACATATCGGAGAGGACAGAATGATCGCGAGACACATCAAATTAAGTGTTCGATCGCGTTCCTTATGCCTTATCTTTCTGTTTGACTCCGGTGATTTTTCCGTAGTCCCAAAATATCCACTCTAGATATGCCGCAGCTGCGCACCAACGGTGCACCTACACCATCGCAAGATCGCCTACTCGTATTAATCGCTCACCATTTATCATGCACCTTCTTGGGTAACTTCGTGAGTTTATAGTTCCGTTCCTCTCTCTTTCTCTCTCTCTCTCTCTCACCCTCGCACAACGCGTGGGATATATATAAATATTTATTGATCTATATTAGAGCCTGTGCAATCTTGCTCGCGACTCATTTCTCGAACTGCACCGAGCTCTCTTTGATGGCGTAATTTTCTTGATCGATCTTTTATTTTTACCGCCGGTCGATCCCGCTGACGTGGCATAGATTGGAGAAACAACTGATGAGATATTGTGTATTGAGAATATGTAATATTTAATTTGAGCGAACTTTCGGATTCTCCTATTTGCCCACGGATTATTTCGAATTTATGTATCCACAATTATATCGGCCTGCACCAATGTTATTTTATACATATTTTATTGGAATTTAACGACTATCGGCATTTAATGGCTTTAATACAATTTGCATGATTTTATCACGATTTATGCTACAAATCGCATATCATTTTACGAAGCTACTAATATATATATATACAGAATTTATGATATCAATAACCGTTCGCATAGAAACTGTTAGTGCAATTTACAATCAGATTTAGTTGTTTCCAAAACTGCATTTCCCGTAACGATTTTTATCGTGCTGACTTGGTTTGCGCTATCAAAATCGCGTTGCAAAAAATAGCAACAAAATGGATCACATTTGCACGAATTGCTGCCATAAGTTACTAATCAATAATGTAGCGACAAGCAATATTTATCTCATAAAAACGAATGTCCGCGAGCCGTGTAATCGATGTGACTTCTGGCAATCGACTCCCATGCACTTTCGTTTATTTGTCTGGACTAAAAATAATGAAACTCCCATAAATATTCCGCTGCGGTTTATTGTCCAATTTTACTACCAACATTGCTTGTTACTATTTCAAAAAAGAACATGCGGTCAACGCAACGCGAGATTTATGTAAAAAGTGACTTGTGAATTGATTTGTTTATATAGTACTAATTAGTTTTTTCGAAAATATACTAAATATGTCTATTCTCGGAGAAAAGAAAATCCTTTGCTTTATATATTATAAAAAAATAAATAATAGCTAAGAGTTATAATAAAATTTTGAAATTATAAATTATTGTACATATTTGTTCCTCATTTGCGAAGATTGTTAGAATTCCGACATTATCGGGTAAAAGTTAAGTTTATCAATGTCAATTAAACCTTAGTTTCATTGATTCTTCCTTAAAAGTAGAGAAGACAAGCGGAAAGTTTAATTACGGTTAAAGTTAACTAACATCGGTGAAATCGGCCATGAATAAGATTGGGGAAATTGGGGTGTAATAATTTCATTGTGTACAGATTGACTTTTATTTTTCGCAGTTTCGGGAGGAAAAGAGTCAGTTTTCGATAAATATTTCGAAAAATTGCAGAGAAGCGATTCTAATATATTACGAACGTACTTAATGCGTACTTTGCATTATACGTTTGAACGCGTCGCGCTCTCGCGCGAGCTTTCAAGCTCACCTTTTTTTATCTGTCAACGTCGAGCACACATAAAGCCAGAAATACGAAGCGCTGGTTGGTGGTGGTTGGCGGGACGGATAAAAAAAATATAAAGGAAGGGTATATAACGACGAAAAGAAAAAAAGGCACGGATAAATCTGTGAGCAAGCCGCAAGTGAAGCGTAAGGGAGGGATATATACCCGTGGCGGGTGTGTGAACACATCGATACATTTATTAAGTACGACTAATATAATAAAGGCCGTGAAGAGAGCTCTGATTAAATTGTACAAAACGCAGCGCATATTATTATCGTGGACGTTGGGTCTCGCTGTTTGAGATCATCAAACCGATCTCGCGAGCGAGCCCAGCGACGGCAACATTTAAGCGCACACAGCATATCAGAGCGAAATAACATTGTTTATTCGCATAAAAATACGATACATATACATGATACACCAAAAGTCGCGCGCTTTCTCACGGCGCGCAAGTTTCCTTTTGTAGTTCCAGGAAATTTAAATATAATTAAAGTTAATTGAAGAATACGATTTTTGTATAATTAAATTTTCTAATATAATAACCCTCTCTCTCTTCGTGAAATTTGTATTTAATTGCATAAGAAGAATCAGCTGTAAAAAATCTATCGTTATATAATCGGCAAGGAAAGCGCGCAATCTCCGATACAGCCTGTATACATATCAGAGTGCAGAGTACATTAGTGGCATACATTAGAGGGTTGTTTCCTGGTTGTTCGTCGGTTGGGAGGTCATGGAGCGCCTCGGCCGCCATAGAGCTAGCCTGGCGAAGCCGTACTTGGTCATGGCCGTGCAGAAGTTCGCCCTCGATTGACTCCAGTTCTCTCCCCCGAATCCGTTTCGCACCGATCAACCCGTAACCGAAGTCCAAAAGCGTCGAGTCAGCTTCGACATCGCTTAGACGCGCGCGCCGTGATTTCGCGATAACGATCCGCAATAACGATCTCGATTATCATCCGGCGGCGATTCATCTCTTGAGCGCGTGAACGATCATACGACGCGTCTTCTCGATGCACTTTCGCAAGATATTACGAAACGACATGGTCGTGAATCGTCCCTCGGTGAGCGTTGTACGTCGACGGCGGATTATTGACGAAATAACGTTGAGCTAGAATAATGATTGCGGCGAATAAATTAATTTCGTCGAGGAACATTGAGCTTCCGTCTGTTACGTCATACTATCGTTTCCCCGTGAGCTTTCCGTCCGCGCCAGGAAGCAACGGCATTCTATATATACGTTCTCATGAATTTTATATATACTCGCGAGTGCAAGTGGCGAGAAAAGCGAGTTTTTATATATTATCGAGTATAATTTCTCGTCTCGATTTAGAGTTGTTTTCTCTTTCACGACGGTGCTGTCTCTCCTCCGTGGAGCCCGAAGACAAACAGGCAATCGATCGTGGCGACGAGAGATTGTCCGTCTCCGGTGTACGACGATCGATCCTGCGATGTGGTGGCAGGAACGCGAGTTTTCGTTGCTCGACGATTTATGGCACGAAGTAGTGGTTGCGAGCGCGTAAATTTCCAAAAGCAGACGTCGGTCTTTCGATCGATTCGACACGAAGGCAGTCGATGATCGGACGGGGGGGGATCGTTAATTGCAGTTCGATGTCGCGGAGCCGGTGATTGATTTCGGTATCTATTCGCGACGGACGGTCGCCGTAAACAGGCGATTACATAAAACGTAGCAAAAATATCGAGGTGTCGGCTCTTTGAGGATCCTCCCTTACTCTTTGTTTTTTTTTCTTCTCCCCTCGACTCGGAGTCCTCGAAGCAGACAACTTCAACTACTAACGAACGAACACTAAACGGTAACACCCTAAGAGTGTGTGTTAAGCTCTGATTAAGTAACAGCACAGCCGATTTTTCATTTATATTGCGATATCGAGCGATAATAAAATTCGACGAAGCGCGCTCGCGTTAAGCTCTGTAATTAATTAAGTTAGCGCAGCACAGCCGATCTTTCATTTATATTGTAATAAAAAAGGGTCCACAATTTTCTCTCTCTTTTTTCTTCTCAAGCGTTCTCCTTTTCCGACGTCGTATAGTTTGCGCGCGTAAATCTCTTTTGTTTCCTCGCGCGAAGATAGAGACCCTTCAGGTTTTCTTCTCGCGCACTTCTCAGTCAGCCTTGACTTTTTTTCTTACTTTCCTATTATTTCGGAACACTCGATTTCGCAGGGAATTATCCTCGGCCGAAGCGCGCGCGGCAACTTTGTCGCGAACACGCGGCAAAACTTTGATATGTGTGTCGCTTTCCCGAGTGCTTCGCGACGCCGATGAAGGTATAGGCGTCCCGGTAGTCAAGGCACTGGACATGCGCATCGAACACGAGAGAGACTTCGTACTCTTGTCGGGCTTGTAAGGATTGGCGAGCGGCGCGTGGATAATCTTCAAGTCGTTCGTGCTTTCGCGCAGGATACCGCGTAAGACTTCTCTCGCTTTCGAGTGCGATTCGATATCGGATCGCTTTTTTTTTATCCCGAAAGTGTATTTTGTTGTATCTTCTCTCGACTATCGGGTTTTCAACGTCTTCGGAGAGGATATATACATATATCTCTTTCAAGCGTATATTTTACTTTCCTTATTTAAAACGGGAGAGTTGCAAAAACGAACGATACCGTGTTTCTTGGTATTCCCCGATGATCGCATCAGATATTCTTGCGCTATATATGCTTGTCCTTGGATAAAAAGCGCGTTTATGTTCTTCGTAATCTTATAATCTTTATTACAACTTTGAAAAGGAAAAACTATATTCTCCGCTGTTTTTTTTTTTTTTTTATCGATCTTATTACGTCAGATTTTTATCGGTCTTTGAAATTGTTTCGTTTCTTTAATTTTGATTACTTTCTTTATCAGCAAGTTTTCGAAATAAATTAAAATACATATAATATCTCGTGCAACTTCTCTCGCGGCTCTCTCGCGATAGCGATCAATGCTTTGTAATTGCGTGCATTAAAGTCTCGGTTGCATACGTCACGCCTCTATCCACTCTCTATATCGCCCGATCTCTCGCTCTGAATATAAAATATCCCTTTCGTAGAAAAGCCCGCTCGCGATTGAAATCCTCTCTATCGCCCGCGCACAATCCGTCTCGCTCAATTAGCATAAAATCGAGAAGCTCGATCTGGAGAAAGGGATTCTGTTTTGCGTGGGCGATGTGTCACGCCGTAGTCTACGGACAGTATATATATATATATATATATATATATATATATGTATATACTGCCGGTGTAATCGTATATGTCGCATCGACGACGCAGCACTTTATATACGGACGTAGAAACTGTCCTTATTACGTCGAGCGGTCGCTCGACGCGTTTCGGAAGGGCGGAATTTTTCTACGTCGGGCGACGTATCGATCGACCAGGACGAGCAACGGCATCGAATCGAGCGAGTCCTCCCCGATGCGCGATCGCCATCGATATGTTGCATCGCGGTAAAATTAGAACGCGCCAGCGTCATTGACTGCCGGTATATCGAAGTCGCCGCCATCGCCGAAACGGCCCTACGAAGAACATCCAGTGTAGTACCACCACTCACTAATATACATAGCTATATAGGCCCTTCGCGATCCACTTTCTACAGGTGGTACCGATTATTCTCGGACGGTCGGAAATAGACGGAAATAAACCCTCCCCCGGCGTATCAAGGACGAGGCCTCTTTCCGCTTCCTTCGCGAAAAATATCCCGACCGCTGGATTTCCTTTAAGCCCCGAATCCCTCACGTACACGACGACGACCTAACCCGTTCGTATCATCGACTTTCGGTCGGCACGGCGCACGTGACTCTCGAAGGTCGTGCTCCCTCGCGAATCGATCGCGGACGCCCTGCACAACACCACCCTTGGTTCCGGGTAGGGTGGCCGCCAGTCTGTCGGTACCGACGATCGGTCAGCCTCCTCTTCCGGATCGATGACGCGTCCGACCTCGGAATCGCCAGCGCCAACGCCGAGTGTCTCCTTGACCGAACGATCGAACGGCGAAATCCGATCTCGCCGCACCTCTCACGAGTCCTCCATCTCATGTTACAGGAGAGATAGCGCGCAGATTCAGCAGAGGACACTGTCGTTCATCCGCATTACCTTATTGCTAGCCGCGTATCGCGCATATCCTTGATTCCCTGCGCGACGTGTAGATTTACATGTAGACCATTATACTCGTCTTACGCTGCTTCGTCAAATTATCGTCATCTCGTTGCTGACGAACGATAACGAGCGAACGATTTTCCTGGTACATTTAACAATTATACTTGTAGTATCGTACAACTCGCAAAACTTCTTGATCCCTCTACATCATTTCTACGTTTATATAGGATGCTTCGAAAACGGACGGTATGATCTAAAGCTTTTATACCTCCGAGACCCGTCTCTTCGTGAAACGATAAAAGCTCGAGACCCTCACAATCCCTTGACGACGATACTAAGGCTCTCCTTTCCGCAGACAATACAAGCCTCTCTCGCTTACCAAGATATTCCTCCGCTGGCTCACAAAGCTCACCGATTTTCATAGCGGAGCTCAGAGAAACGTTTGTGCGGTGCGAATCGATCACTCCCGAATCTTCGTCCTGTGGAAAGGACGATCAGAGGGACGTCCTGGCTCCACCGTACTCGCGTTTTCTTCCCGCTAACCTAGACGAATTTCCTGATGTATATACACACGAAGGTATACACGCGCTCGTCGAGAGCTCGTCGCTCTCCTCCTTCGTTATCGAATGGCCGCGCCATCGCGCAAGCTCGTCCCCGTTCAACCCTCGTTTCACCCGCCACAGATTCCCCGTCGCGCGCATCCAACCCCTACGTGTTTTCTCCCTACGATCTTTATTATCAGTGTTTGCTGGTACCTCGATCAAATTCGGGGTGTCCAGCAGACTCGATGAACAAAATTCCTTGATGTAGTTTAAATGACGATAAAATTAATGAAATCGCAAGTGATGAGCAAAACCATACAAATTATTGAAATTTCGACCTAACTGGCTAGTACAATTTAATAGAAACACTACGTTTCGACCCTTAGGTACGGGTCCTTTTCAAGTGTAACTCTCAAGATGTTGATTCGACAATAGTAAAATTAGTAATGATTAGTAATTTTTCCCTCGTCGCGCGCATCCAACCCCTACGTGTTTTCTCCCTATGATCTTTATTATCAGTGTTTGCTGGTACCTCGATCAAATTCGGGGTGTCCAGCAGACTCGATGAACAAAATTCCTTGATGTATTTTAAATAACGATAAAATTAATGAAATCGCAAGTGATGAGCAAAACCATACAATTTATTGAAATTTCGACTTAACTGGCTAGTACAATTTAATTAGAAACACTACGTTTCGACCCTTAGGTACGAGTCCTTTTCAAGTGTAACTTCAAGATGTTGATTTGACAGTAGTTAAAATTAGTAATGATTAGTAATTTTTTTCCCTTGTCGCTCCCATCCAACCCTACGTGTTTTTTCCCTACGATCTTTATTATCAGGTTTGCTGGTACCTCGATCAAATTCGGGGTGTCCAGCAGACTCGATGAACAAAATTCCTTGATGTAGTTTAAATGACGATAAAATTAATGAAATCGCAAGTGATGAGCAAAACCATACCAAATTTATTGAAATTTTGACACCTAACTGGCCAGTACAATTTAATTAGAAACACTACGTTTCGACCCTAGGTATGGGTCCTTTTCAAGTGTAACTCTCAAGATGTTGATTCGACAGCAGTAAAATTACTAATGATTAGTAATTTTTACTGCTGTCGAATCAACATTTTGAAAGTACAGGGTCGAAACGTAGTGTTTCTAATTAAATTGTACTGGCCAGTTAGGTCGATTTCAATAAATTTGTAAAATTCCTTGAACTTTTTCAGATTTTCCAAAACCAGAAATTCATTTTCCCCTGACCTTTAGTATTATTTTTCCCAAATATATAATTTGCATATATCTATATGTGAAATCAATTTAAATGTGGAATCATGAAATTCTTGAGATATTTTTGTCAACAATGAAAAGGTTCAGAAGTTAAAACAAAAATTTTTAATCAATTGTACAATCTGCATTATGTCGATAATCGAACAAACATGTCACTATAAACTATTTAAATAATCACATTGAATGATAAAACCAACATAACACGAAGATGAAAATAATAAATTAACGAATAAGATGTAGATGAATCGATTTTCACCAACACAAGAAAA